TGAACGACTTCACGCGGATAAAGTCAAAAAATATAAATGTTGTGCAATAAATTGTGAGTCAAAATTTACAAACAAAGAGAACTATTACGTGCATTGGCAGAAACAACATAGAAAAAGTGTGATACCGGACTGTTTAATTTTTTTTTTAATGAGAAACCAAAATTGAAAAAACGATTATTTAAAATGCGTGAGGCCAAAATACAAATTAAAAATTGTGAAAAGCCAATTATCTATGAAATCTTACAAGCTGTTGGCTTATTACAAAATGCTTGTGTTAAAATTGAAAATCAAATTTCAAAATGCTTGAAATCAAGTCCATTTTTTGGAGAATTAAAATAAACAGTGCTATAATATCTCCTTTAATGTTTAATTTCGATGTTAGCAGCTATTAGTTTTCACTATTTAAACAATTTGGACATATTTGGAATATTTATTATATTATATCAATTTGCACCAGCTTGATTTAATTCTTCAAAGGTATGTAGGTTCTAGAGTCAGTGGTCTTTTTTTTTCGTTCGAAGCAGCATCGAAGGCAATTTCACTTTGAACATTGATTTTGAATCACTTCATGCTCACACTCACTTTTGTTGCTTCTTCCTGAGTTGTTGTTGCATTTTCGCTGAGACCTCTAAGTATAGTCATGGCTTGTTCGGTTTGTGATGGTGTCAATATTTTTGAAAATACTTCTTCCAAATTCTTTAGTGTGCTTTCACTCAAATCATCTAAGACAAATGGTGAATAAACCTCATCAGATGATTGGCTGTCAATCTCTTCTGAACTACTACGATTCTTCCAAAAGTCAAATAGAGTTTGATTGATTTTTGCTAAATCTCCATTCACTGCCATACTCAAGAGTCTTGCCTGTGAATTCGACATCAATTTACTTTTCAAAAAAAAAAAAAAAAAATCCGACACAATTACACAAAAACATACCGAAGCTTCAATATTTTCCTCATCAGTCGAATCGGGCTTGAACTTATCGAATATGTTGGCAAAATTGATGAGCACCATAGGATCCAATTTCGCAACTGCTTCGGTAGCATTTGCTATGGCACTATCATCTGTAATTGGCACTGGGGTGGTTTGCTTTTTTCCAATTTTTGAACATGAACATAACTAATAATGAATGTTTTGTTATTTATACTTCAATATAAATATTGACAATGTTTTTGCTTTTACCTGAACAAGGCTGACAATAGCAACTAGTAGCAAAAAGAACTTCATGTTGTCCACTTTTTATTAGCGTGCTCGTTTTCACAGAACCTATTCCAAACTGTTGATATTTTGTTTCACGCAATTTTTTTTTAAATACACACCGAAAAATGTAGTTAGAAAAATAGCAGAATAATCAACAGTTCGTGTCGTTTGCGGTCAGATTATAGGTCATCAAAAATGATCAAACTTGACTGTTATGAATGGTCATAAATGAAAATTGTCAAATAACTTTATGCGATTTAAACTAAGTGAAGCATGAAGTGAAGATTAACACTTACTCAAATCGTGATTGAAGATGATTTTGCTTGTTCACAGTTTGTAAGGTTCAATTGATTATTCGACATAATTTCGATATCACAAACGAATTTTCTGCAATATAATTTGTGAACATGAAAAAGAAGTTTTACGAAACAGATGGAATAGGAAAACAATTGAGACTTATCATTTGACACCGAGTTGTATTTTTGAGAAAGGTAATTTAATTGTGTCGATTCTTCCAAATTTACCACTTCGAAGCGTCACCAACGCGGTGTAATCAGCGTAGCAAGGAATGTGTTTTTGTGATAGTGACTATCATAGTCACATCATGAGTAAACGAGTGCGCATGTTTATTGCACGCAGCTACTGTATGCGAAGATCACCATAAATACCATTTAATATACCATATTTGGTCCATTGAACATGTCAAACAAAACTGAGTGAAGAATTTATCCTTTTTCCATTGAATCAATAAAACATATCTAAAAAAAGGCATATAAAAACTTTTTTAAATAAAACACAAGCGATCAAAAAAGCTTCTTGATTTGAAATGAATGTATTATTTATTTCTTATTCAGCCATTTGTTCGCCTTAAAGTAACGTTAATACTAGCAGTCGGTTCGTCATCGTCAAAACGAGGAATATTGTCAGTTTTATCCACGACTGTTGTGTCAAAGATGATTATCCTCGTCGTCTTCAATTTTGATGACATCCGTCATGGTGTCATAATGTGAATAGGCAAATCGAGAGTAATTATTGGATAGTCTTCGATTGCGAAGCATCATGTAAAAAACAACTCCTCCCAATGCAATCACAATCACCATGGGTAAGATCACCATCCATGCAGATAATTTCACGTGATCTGGTTGTGTTCCTTGGAGGCGATGAACTGGTGGCAGTGGGGCCGTCCCACTTATTTTGAGTGTGATTGGTGTGGCATTCGTTGCATTTGTTGAAATACTTATATTATACATTGCACCATCGAGAATATTCTTAAGGTTATGTGACATAGTTTTAGTTTCATTTCGTACCACTTCCATAGAATTGGTTGTGTTTGTTGTTAATTCAGTCCATGTGATAACATATGATTGCGGATATTTGCTCAATAATGCGCAATTGTCTTCCCATGTTAATTCAATCTCATGTTGTTCCGCATTCATTTTAGCTTGAAAATTGCGCACATTCTGTTCATCACTTCCGTCAACACAGTGAGTTACTCCTATTTAAAAAAAAGAGAGAAAATTACACAATTTACAAAAGGATGCACGGACAAGTAATAAGTAGACAAATTTTTCTCTTACCATCGCAATACTTAATTCGATCCAAGCAAACACCATCGCTTCGGCATCTGAATTTATCTTTTCCACAGGAAAGAGCACAATTTGCTTCGTCTTCACCGGATAAACAATCTTCAATTCCGTCACACACGAGCGATTTTGAAATACACCGTTTATCACACATAAATTGATTTCTGAGACAGTTTTTGGTCATCGAACTTATTGGTAGTGGCGTTGAATTGTTTGTCGTACTAACTTTATTGGCTTCTTTTGTTGTAGCGACGGCATCATCAACTGAAACTGAAGTTGTTACAGCTATGGCCCCATCAACTGGAGCTGAAGTTGTGCTGATTCCATTGGCTACAAATGTTGCGCTTGAACATAACTATAAAATGAAATTGTTGTCATTTAGTATACAAATTCAATCATTTTTTGCTATAAAAAAAATGTTTGAAAACAATTTGTTTACTTGTAGAAAACTGACAATTGTAGCGAGAAAAAGAAACGTCATATTGTTGATTTTTCTATGTCGTGTTCGTTGTCACAATATCTCTTCTCGATTGTAAAAAAATTCAATCGTACTAACTTTCTTAAATACATAACAAATAACACAAAAAACAGATTCAAATTCAAAATAATCAACAATGTCGTCTTAAATGGGTCATATAGGTCATCAAAGATTTGATATTTAAAAAACCAAGTGAATTTATCAGAAAAAAGACCATTTGAAGATTAAAATTTATTCAAATCGTGATTGAAGAGTATTTTGCTTGTTTATAGTTTATAAATTATAATATTAATTTGAGTGATCTTCAAAATTGTCATCGTTAATATCGTTGTTTTTGGCCATGCCAAATGCGCTGCTCAAAGCTGATGAATACAAATCGACCTGCATTTATAAATCATAAGTGAAAGCTATTAAAAAGAAATTAACCAACAATGTAAAAAAATGAGAGACTAAAACCTACCAAGGCCGCTTCTTTCTCTTTTGCTGTAGCTCCTTCTCGAAAGCCTCGAAATATGTTCAATGCATGCATCGTTTGTGACGGCGATAATTGTTTGGACAATAGAACTTCCAATTGTTTTAAATCCGTTTCTGTGATACCTTTCGCTGATGTGCTTTCGATTTCGTCACTTATTTCGTTTTCGTTTGGTTCATCACTATTTCTTGAAAATTGCTCGAAAACAGTTTTGTTGATTTTGGACACATCGGCATTCACCGCTAAACTAACAAGCTGTTGATTATATCAAAAATATTTTTGCGTTTTAACAAAAATATATTACAGTTCCGGCAATGACATCAACGTCGGTCGAATTCTCTTGAAATTTCTCTTTTTGAAAGATATTGATAAAATTATCAACTGCGTCTGATTTTACGTCGGGAATAGTTTTCCAGTTACAGCGAATGCGTTCAATATGTGATTCGTTCAAATCTGTTGTCGCAACTGGAGCATCTCTTTTGATGATTGAGGCACTTAAACACGTCTGAAAAAAGTAGAAAAAAATCCTGAGAAAATCATTGATATTATAAGATAAAGTTAGTCACCATACTTGTATTAAGCCGAAATTTATGACTAACAAAAATGAATTCATTTTGTCGCGTTTATGAAGTTTTATAAAACACAATACAAACTGCAATGTAAACATTTGATTGGAATATTCATATAAATATTTATTAAAAATACGATTCCGAAACGAACTCAAATTCTTATCTCGAAGTCAAAGGCTATCAATATGTGTTGTAAGATGTATATTTAAAAACCAAACAAACATCGTTTTCCTTATAGCTTTGTCAAGCACCGTTGTAATATGATCATTAATTTACAGTACGATTTAAATGAAACACAATATTTTTACAACATTTTCTTTAAAATATGTTGTTAATCATATACAAAATTCTCATTTTAATGGGAGTTATTTCTAAAAAAGAATCATTAGTCTCTCCATTGTTTATTTTCAGTGAACCAAAACAAGAAAATGGTTTGCTAAAATGCTACACATGCAACAAAAACTAAATGATAACCTAACTCGCATTTGAAATCAATTTTTTATTTAAGTTTTTTTTGAAAAAAAAAAAATCATCTTTATTTCTATGTGACTTTGAATACATACAATAATATCAACTTAACACGATACTTCTAAATGAATGGGTCAGAATAAAAATCCGACTTGTACGCAGAGTCTATAAAAGTGGAACATGGAGTTTTTTTACATAGTTTATTTGTTGTAATACAACAACAATTCTATGTAAAAAAAACGCTGTGTTCCACTTTTATAGAATCTGCGTACAAGTCGGATTTTTATTCTGACCCATTCAAATGTAAAGAAGACACTTTCCAATAATAGATCACATTTCATCCCCCGATAGCAATTGTCAAAAATATGACTTTTCTGCAAAACGTTGC